TTCTTGATCAAAAATAATCTGATCAGATATTACACATAAGAAGTAGCCTATATGAAACATTTACTAGATCGGGAGGTGGAATAGTTTTTCTTGGTTGAAAAGAATACAAGTAGGCTTGTGCGTCTGTTATCATTGGTGGAAAGTGGCATGCCGTTCAGGCGAACTGAGGAGACTGTCATTGACCTCTTGAAATAACTCCGTCGGTCGCCCAATAGGGAGTAGTACACGCTGAACAAACGCGGCCTACAGACAGCAACACCGCCAGACCGTCGCCTCCTTGCCCAGACAAAGTCTCCGCCCGCCCCCCAAGACGAGGTGCCCACGTAACCAAACCTCGCTCGAGGCACAAAGACTCCATAACGTCATGAAGACTTGACAACAACTACTACCAGTAGGTAGGCCATAAATTTGGGTACGACTGCTGGGCCAACTTGGGCGGCGGTTACTCGCCAATTGGTGCTCTTGCTTCGCCGCCTGAATTGCATCCCGCCAGTGGGTGACCATTTCGCCTAGGGATTGACCAATCGGCTGACCCTCCAGCAGTTGGTTTTGGATGGAGGCGAAGACGTAGTTACTCCCATACCCCATTCCTCCTGTTGCACGCTGCCCGTACGTTCGCATGTCGTGAACATTCTCTTGTGGCTGTTCACCTGCATGGCAGGCGGCCTGCACCTGTACGTACGGAAAGATCCAAAATACGGTCCGCATGAAAGAACAACACCCTTCTGAATCCTTGTAAAAACCAATAACTGAACAAACGGCCCTGAACAAACACTCCTCCTCTACTGAAACCCGAACTAACACTACGTACACTACCTGCTAACTGCGTACACTCACCACCTGCTCCGGTGAAGGGTTGGTGAAATCGTGGCAACCCTGTCCTCTTTCCAGTAGAATCGGCGCATAAAACAGGCTGCTTCCCGCTCCACACTCACTCCCCCGGATGGACAAATTATTTCGCTTGGATTTTTCCGTCCAGGTCCATGAGGCACTTTCGGCAAGTCTCCCACTCTTCGTCGAGATAATCGTAGACGAGAGTGTTCAGCTGCTCTTCCTCATCCTTGACGTTTTCTGCCCCCAAGTACTCTTGGTCCGCATTCATTCGTCATGCTGATCTCGTAACGCATGTATGTCTCGTTCCTTGCCTGCTTCTTCGACCTTGTCGTTGATGTAGTTGTCCCAGCACATTGCTTGCAGCATGTCAACCGCCTCGTCAAACTCCAAATATTTGTTCCTACTTTCTGGGGTTGTTCCTCGCCAACGACACATTGGTGCCGATTGTGCTCGAGCTCGTCGTCGCGTAGCTGCCAATCGTGTTCGACCTCGTCCGGGCGTCGCATTCTTTTGGGCAATTTCGGTACCAACTAAATAATATACGACCACCCTACCACACTCACAGCAGCAGCAGTTTGTTGATTTTGAAATCATCCACTCACTCACGCACCACGTCCGGGGGGAGCATGTGCGGCCCCAACAACTGGACAAGCGGTCGTTGTTTGCGCTTCCGGTCCCAGTTCTTTCTGTGCTGTCCGCAATGCCATCCGCCTCTCTTCGTCCACGAGAACCAGTTTGGAGCCCGTGTCAGTCATCTCTCTCACTCTCAATCTCTCTCGTTGGCGAGGTTGTTGGTTTTGATTTTGGTTTGATCAAAATGTAACGTCTCAGTTGTTACCTCGCATAGCGCGCAGAGGGAGTGGAGGACTCGAGTCTGTGGTTGATTTATATTGACTTGCGGACCCCTCGGGGCCATATTATTTGAGTGTACCTTTTTATTTAGGGTNCTGTGGTTGATTTATATTGACTTGCGGACCCCTCGGGGCCATATTATTTGAGTGTACCTTTTTATTTAGGGTTAAGTTAGCCTGCGACCACGGGAATCGACCGCGTTGAGTGTTGGATCAGTACGGACATACGAAGGTACTACTGGGTAGTAGAGAGATCGGAACGGTTTTGAACGTGAAGACAAGACGACAACAACAACAACAACAACAGCAACAACAATACGTCTTGGTTCAAAATTAAACGAGCCTAAATTAAACGAGCCTGCTCTCGGTGTTGAAAGGGACCAGAAACTTCCCTGCTTCAAGTTACCGACGCTGCACTATCTCGACGCACCGAGAACGGATTGAAAAGGTAGCAGTTGGGGCAGCTCGGGCAAAATATTACTTGTGAACACGTCTTAGATAGCAATTTGGTGCCGAGATGGTGAAATGGGCTGGAATCTGCTAGGTAATATATCGAGGCTGGTCACAGACAGACTTACTTCAGCCTGTTTCCCCCCCCCCTCGGCGTGAGATTTTCTTTTTTTTTCGCGCGCATACACACGATTCGGTGGACCGAGATCTGCTGTGGGACGTGCTCGGACGCTTTGGCGTGCCCCCGAAGATGCTGGCGGTCATTCGCCACTTCCACGAGGGCATGAGGGCGCGGGTTCGAACGGACGACGGGCAGTACTCGGAATGGTTTGACGTCGGCCAAGGTCTCCGACAGGGGTGCAACCTGGCCCCGCTGCTGTTCAACTTGTTCTCTGCCGCGATGCGCATGGTCGCAGTGA